AAAGGAGATGTGACACATGTGTCATAGAAGCATTTTTTGAACTCGATTTAATTACGAATTTTGATACAAAACCAGTCCAAATCACCTCCAATCTTCCTCAAATTTTGTATATTGACTTATCTATATGTTTTCAATGAATTTCAACTATACCCATTGAAAAAATTCTTTTTTTGCTTAGATTTTTGGAATATTATATTTTTTTATTTCATCACCTTATTTGCTACCTCATCAATGAAGTTTCCTTTCCGTCTTGCATCTAATGTTTCTAATCACGTTTAAAAATATGGAAGGAGATTTTTGCATGTGATTCTTTGAGATAAAAAACCTTATTTATTTAATTTTTTAATTTTTATATGTGCTTGGCTAGTTTTGGTAAGTGTATGACTAATGGCTAGAGATTGGTAAGTTGAAACTTATTTTGGACATTTATGTAAGTTTTCCTTCTCTTTTTTTTCACTTTTTGATTTTTTGTGGTGTTATGATTCATGACTCAGAAATGAGGCTTGGAAATTTGATTGCAAGACTTGGGTTGTTAATGGAAATAGACTGCATTGGCAGGATGAATTAAACCTTTCTACCTTAATTAAAGATTTCGAGCTCGACCTCTGAGAATGGAGAAATCTCTTATAGTAATTAGGATCACTTTTTCTTTTAATGAATTTTACGCAATACAGTATTTGAATTAGTCAGTCCATCGTATATCAAAGAACAACTGGTAATTGTCCTCAAATATTAACTGAGTTGGTTGAGTGAATGATTTTTCACATGGGAGACTTGAGATTAATTCCCCTCACAACAGCCATTCCAGTCAGAGTTCGTCGTATCGGGATTGCCTAGTGCGGTTTATATCTCTGGTGTGGTTTGCGAGCTATTACACAGTGAGCATGTTATCCAGTATGCACTGGTTGCCCGCAAGGATTGGCTGAGTTGGTTGGGTGAGTGATTTTTCACGTGGAAGACCTGAGATCGATTCCCCTCACGGCAACCTTCTTAGTCAGAGCTCGTCGCATCGACCTTGCTTAGTGTATAGTTTGCGAGCTATTACACAGTCAGGGGAGGCCCAACCTCATCGGAGGCCTAAAGTAAAATCTTAATAAGAGGCCTTAATATATATATATATATAATTTAATGAACATCGTTTTTAAAAAAATTAGACAAGTGAGGATGTGGAATTAAAAAAATGAGAACTTTGTTTTATAAAATACAGAAAATTAAATGAATTTAATGTTGATTGCATCACAACTGAAATGGGAGAACCCAGAAAACATAAGTGACTCCTTTTTTTTAGTAAGACCCTTTCTATATTTGGTAACAATTCAACTTTAGATTTTTCTTTTTACCATTAATGAGATGATTTCTAGCCCAAAAACTTTTACGATTTATTTAAGATTACAAGTTTCAAAAACCTTCCTTTATTTCATAAAATCCATGTCCAGGCAAACACTTTCATATAAATTGGGACGGAGAGAGTATAATTTATGTAAGAAAAATAAATAATAAGTTAGATTATTAGATATAGTTACGTGACCAACTAATGAATAGAGAAATATAATTAAGTAAAAAAGTAAAATAAGATTGACAGAAAACTATTTTAGTTATATTAATTAGAGGAAGAAATCGAGTTATTAAAAATTAATATGACAATAAAGAAATAAATTTATCAATAATAAAAGATAATTATATAAATAATATACTACTATATATAGAAAATTACTAGTAATTTTGGGGCCCTTAAATATTTGGGGCCTTTCACTTGCTTTAGGGTTGGACCGCCCCTGTACACAGTAAACAGGTTATCTAGTGCATAGCGGCTACAGTTTTCGAGAGAACTTAACACAAAAAAAAGAGAGCTATATATGAGGTGTTTAAAATTCGTTGGGAAAAATATAATGTGCATCAAAAGGTCTAATTAAGATGTCTTACGTACAAACACAATGATTATTTAGAATCTTTTGGTACTCCACCCTGTTTAGAGTCAACCAATTCATGGTCTTCTTTGCTTCTGATGTTTTAACAGAATAAAAATTTTAATTTTGAAAGAAATAAAAAAGTCATGTATCATACTACAAAATTCTTTTTCAAATAGGCATGAATGAGTTGGCTTCCTTTAGCCAACTATGCTATACATGTGGCATTAAAATATAAAGAGAAGAAAACATTTGCAAATCTGATGCAAATGTAAGATTTTTAACTTATAATTCGTCTAAATTTCTACAACTTAGATAGGGAGTTCAAGGTATTAGAGATTAGAGACTCATTATCAATTCAATATTGAACTGATGTAGCTAATTAATATTGAGCTACGGCTTCAATCGAACTCAATATTTTTATTTTAAAATATAAATATATATGTAAAAGCTCATAAATTTCAACAAATAAATCGGGTGTGTATGAGTAATTTTCTCATTTATTACTCTAGAATGAGGAGTGACATTGCTCTTGTAGACAACAATTGAGATAGGGAGCACAAATATATTTACTTTGATAAACATGTTTTGTATTAATTGATTTGATCTGAACAGGGGCGGATCTATGTAGAGGGAAGGGGTGGTACGCCACCCGATCGCTCCGGTAGAATTTCATATTAGTATTGGTATTCCACTGATATTTCATGTAAAAAACATATAAAATAGAGTTGTGCCACTCTGAGTAACAAAGTTCTGGTAGGTGGCACGGTCCAAGTGCTTCCTGCTAATCCCGAGACCCAGGGTCGAATCTCCTCTCACTCTGTTTTTTAACAAAGCCTGTTTTGCTTTTCCTTGTTCCCTCTTTTTCCAGGTTTTTCTTTTCTTCTCTTTCTCTTAATTTCTTATTTTCATCTTTGTATTCTCTCTTTAAACAGTTCCATTTTTATTAGTTATTTAAATTATAAAAGTATATTTATTTCTATTTTTCTTTTCTAAATCTCAAATTTTGAAATTTCAATATGTTTTAATCATTTTTCTTTTGATTTGGTTAATGTTATTTTTTCTTCAAGGACCAATATTTTTAGTTTGGTTATCACGTGTGTATTTATGCACCAAAAATCTTATGAAGTAAACCGAATTAATTAAAAAATGGAACGAACCGAACCGAACCGAACCGAGTTAATTCAAAACTGAGCGAACTAGCCAAATGTACACCCTAATTCGACCTTCTTGACTAGAGGTAAGTTTACATTAAAGACAGTGGCACCCGTAACCATCAAATCCTGGATCCGCCTATAGATCTGAACATCATGTGCGAATAATATTTTATCTAAACGAACAACCGTGAGAAATTAAAGGTGAAGAAGCCCTCAAGTGTGTCTTAACCTATGTTGCTCAGACTATTCAAAATTTTGCCGGATGCATGTTGGATCCTTCAATAGTAGTGCATTTTTGAAAGATCCGTACGACTGCGATAACATTTTTAAAAAGTTCAAATAACCAGAGGTGGTACCAGGATTTTAACCTATAAGTTTTGAATTTTAGAATGACGACTTTAAGTACTAACGGTTGTGTTTTAAATTTAATATATATATACGTATTTAATGAGTTTCTTAATATAACGTACACTATTAAGCAAAAACTACTAAATTCGATCGAACCCATAGCTCGATTTCTACCTCCGCCCTTGTCTTAACTATTCCTTGAGAGAGGGGAGAGAGAAGGAATGGATAAGCTTTGAAGCTTCAAGCAGATATATACTGTATTACCACATGTGCATGAGCTACTACATATGGGATGTTGCACTAAAAGCAAGCAATAGACAGTGAGGGGAACTAGTATATGTGGGGGAGGGGTGCATGCTTATTTTGTTTGCTTCGGTGCAAAGAATCTAACCTGTATTTCAGCTTCGAGATTACAAGATTTCAAGAAACACATTGAAATTCTAGTCAGTCAAAGGACTCTGAACAAATAAAAGCTGGCTGGTATTTAAGAGCGGAAAAAAAACGTAGTTCGGTATACAAAGTATTCCGTATTTATGTTGGGTTCGAGAAAAGGTTGCATCATTAAGGGTGTGATGTAGATAACCTACCCTAATGCAGACATTAGAAGCTGCTTCCACGCCTCGAACCCGTAATCTATAGGTTATACAGAAACGATCTTACCGTTGTCTCATAGCTCTCCTTCTCTTTAAGTAGAAAAAAGTAGAAGAATAGATTTATTACTATTCTTAGTTTCGTACTTGTTCAATTGATATTTAAGCGGAGAAAAATAGAAGAATAATACATTTTCCATCGAGTTTCAAACTGTTCGTTGACTAACCATAGGATTATTTTTCATTTATAAAATAAAAGACAGTCAGTCAGTCCAGATCTGACCAGACTGTATATAACATAACGCTAAACGTTACTTCGCTTTTTGCCTCGAGAAAGAGCTTCTCCAGTAACTGTGCACGTGCAAACCAGTGTCCAAATGTGACTCATGTCTCCTTTCATTTCAGCTATTACCCTAAATCTACTTGGTACTACAAATTTCAAAACAAAAAAATATAGAGTTAAAAAAGGGAAAATAATTTTTACACATTGTCAGCGTAAGATAATTTTTACAATATCAAGTTACTCAAAGAATATCTCTAAATAAACTTTCAATAAAAGCGGAATTTGCAATCTTAAAATTAACGTAGGTTACCGACTGCAAAGTAAAGATGATTCAATAGTGTAAAAATTTATCTAAACTGCGGATTTATATAAATTTAAATTATTACAAAATCAGGAGTTTAAAGCAGACCATACCTCTTCTTGATCTTTTTTTGGTCAATAGTATACCACCAACATATTTGTAACGACATTATCAATAGAGAAGACTTCTCCTAATTAAATGGTAAGCTATAATTGAAGTACTCCAACTATCAAGAAAGAAAACATGGTCATTACTAGAGCACTACTATCATGATTATGAAATAATGATACACAATCATGGGTTTCATAGATTATTCATGATTATTTTTTTCACTTGTCTTTGATAGGGAAGAGTTTAAATTCGTCTATAATCTATTTATGGAATATAATGTAAATTTCATGAACATGGAACTCATATAGAAAAAAAGGATTTTACAACATTCAGCACATGTCAAATGACAAATATTTCATATCATTTGATCATCATATCAAACTCACATTCGAAAAACCTGAAAAAGGACTTAAAATTCAAAGTGTAATGTTACTAAAAGGAACATTATATGAAGAACTTGAAATGGTCAACACACGAAAACCCTTTACCTAGAAATCATTGCTAAGATTTCTTGAAGACTACTGAGAGATTAAAGGTTATGGCCCTCGAGTTTTGGATATGATCCAAAACTGGAGGGCCATGACCTTAAAAAAGTGAATCAAAGAAAATTACCCGACCCGTCGTCTGTGAATTTCAGCTAGTTAGAATGGAGGTTGACCAGTTGCCCAATAACCCTCAGAAGGTAATTGAACATTGTTGAGAAGGTTGGGTGGCATTCCATGAAACAACGACGGGTCAGTTAATAATTGTTGTTGTTGTTGTCGTTCTCCTGGAGCAATAGCTCGAGGAGAACCTAGTGAACCTCCTTGAGGTGGAAGCGAATTTGAATCCTCCTCCTCTAGTGGAAGTCTTTCATAAGCTGCATTGCTAAACGAAGCTGCCATAATCACAACCGGACCGGATGCCATTAGTGCCCCTACCACACAACCTCCCACCACTTGTCCTTGTCCGCCGGCTAAATATATAGTCAATCCTGACGCTGCTGGTGGTGCTGGTGGTGGTAGAAATGATCCGGCTAAGGATAAAATCTCAAAACGCCCATGTAGGGTTGCAATCGCACCTGATAAGCAAAAATAAATATAATGTTACCAATCGAGCTTTTTTGGCTCAATTTTATAGCAACTCCTCCTGAGCCCGGGGCTGTTTTGAAACAGCCTCTCTATCCTCACAAGGTAGGGGTAAGGTTTGCGTACACAGTATCCTCTCCAGACCCTACAGTGTGAGATAATACTGGGTATATTATTGTTGTTGTTTATAGGAATTCCATGTTTCACCTTGAATTAGTCAAAATACGAACGCACGAGGTCTTAAATATTAGTGTGTCTTCGAATGTGGGAAGGATAGACATTCAGTTCGATGAGGGAAGGTTCACATAAATTTGAATTGATTGATTAGGAAAGCTGGCTCCGTAGCATTAAAAGCTTAATGTATCCCGAAAGAAGGAAGAAAAGTTGGTTATCAAAGAAAAAATGAAATTAGAGAAAAACTTGAAAGAATAATTTTGTACCTGGTGAAGCTGGTTGTCTTAGGTTTACATTAGTAACATTGCCTGTTCCACTCATAATACAAACCCCTCTTTGACGTCTTCTTGAAAAATTTGAAACACTTTCCATAATATCACAACCATCTGCAATTTCCATGACATGAGTTCTAAGGGCATTTGCACTATCTCTAGTGATGATAATTGGTGCCTTGGGTTTGTTCTTGGATCCAGCAGGTCTACCTCTAGGCCTTCTATTGAACTCCCCATCTCTATTGGTTCCATTAGAACCTAATTCGTCGTTTGATTCCTCAGCATTCGAATTATTATTGTTATTGTTGTTGTTGTCGTCGTTGTTGTCTTCGCGATCTCTCTTTTGCCCGGACATGTTTAGGCCACTTGTTCCACTTTGTTCATCTTCTGAGTTGTGTTGGAATTGAAGGTGGTGTAGCTGCTGCTGTTGGTGGTGTTGTAAGTTAAAATTTCTTGTATGGAAAGGAGGGGGGAGTGAATTGTTCGACGGATCCATACTCTTTTGGTTTAATTCTCAGAGGCAGATCTAGAGCAGGTTCAGCGGATTCAACTAAACCACTAATTTTGTTAGAATCACTTACCCGAAGAAAACAAAGAAGTTGAAAATGCAAATATCTAATAGATCGCGTCTACTTTGACCCCGTTGACTCTAAATCTTGAATCCGCTTATGTTATTCTCTATTTCTTCGATAAGATATGGAGATGATAAGACCGGAGAAATAGAGTTGGAGAAGCAAAGAAAATGAAAGTACAAGAAAGGGAAAGGATGTAATGATATGAAAGGTAGATAGTGGGGAAAGGTTGAAAAAGAAAATGAGTAGACTTTGGTTGGTTTCTTTAACTCATATTCTTTTTTCCTGTTTTCTTACTTTTGCAAGGGGGGTTTGTTGAATCAAGAAACTCACATATTCTTCATCATAAAGAAGAAGAGAAAAGAAGAACAAGTGGACTTTTGGACATTTTGGGTGTCACCAACCAAGAATTCACAGCTTGTAAACTCACCCTATCTGTCCAACTTGACAAAAACTCTTACTAATCAATACTATTATATGATGCCAGCTTCTCTGAAATTTCTAAGTGCTTATTTTCCTTACTTGCAGAAGACAATAGCAGCACTAGAGTTAGGGTTAGCTAACTTATCTTGAGAAAGAGAAGACTTGGATCTGGCATGTTTGGTGTAGTTTTTGCATTGGATTGCCCTTATTAGAGTTTAACCTATATATTACAGACAATGTAAAGTAATTTTTACAATATCAGATCATTCAAAAGATATTTATACGTAACCCTCCATAAAAAGTGAGATTTGTAATCTTGTAAATAAGTCACGTCACCTGCTAGGACAGATAAAAGTGACCAAAAAATTTATTTATGATCGGCGTATATAAAATGTATATACTGACAGTGTACAGAATTTTTATACTACCAACATATTTTAACATATTAATTTGCCGTTTTTTAGATTACTAATCCATATCTGATGAATACAAGTTACATGTATTTATTTTTTAAGTTATGTTAAGTGAAAAATTATTTGAATGTCAATATAGAAGTTAAACTTGGACATAGAATTTGGATTTGGTTTTGCTAAGTCTGACTGTTCATGGACGGTGGACTGGTCCCCTTTCCCCTCTCTATATCTGTCACTCCCTGTGGGGTATGTGAGGAAATAGATCGATATAATATAAGTTTTTTATAGTATTAATATATATATAGTTGAAAAATGCCTTCACCACTCAATTTATATTCAACCTTATATGTCCATTTCTTTGGCCTATCTCAATTAATCCATTAACATTACTAATTTCTTTTTCAGTTTTCCTTGACTTAAAAGAAAAGAAGTAAAGCTTTTTTCTTCAGACACATAGATACTGAAACTTGATTGGTTAAGGTTTTCTTGTTTTTCTTTGTACATGTTAGATTTATATGCTTGACAACTTCTTGCTTGGACAGTGCTATTATCCGTTTTGTCCTTTTCTTAAAGAGTACAAGTTATTCGCATTGACAGGTGTAAAAAAATTATAGCATAAGGTCTAATTGGCGCAAAATGCCTTAAGACGCCTCAGAGCAGGTCTTGTCGTAGCTAAAAGACCTGCTATGCTGTATGAAGCATTTGATATATTAGGTGATTACGTTTCTGAAGTACATTAATAACCTGACAGACTAAGACAATGCATATACGAGGGAATTGAACTTTGAAAAAGTTTCGAGTGCTAATATTGAACTAATGGCCTAACGAGTGTATACGCCAAAATCTGTCTTTAGAATATTTAGCGTAATATGGCATTAAAGAAAGTTATCGGTCGAGATCGTCCAAGACACAGCGAGGTCAACAACCGAGGTGCCGACATGAGCCGTGGTCAAGATATCGACAGAAATCGCAGTCAAGATGTCAACAATGATTGAGGTCGAGATTGGCTATTGATGATAAGACTTGTAATGGCTAATTTATCAGGATAAGGCACTAAAAGGGAATATTCTAGCGCATATTCCCTACATTTGTACTATTACCTTTTTACAAATATTCTTGTTCATATATTATTCCCCGCCTTTCCATCAGATCCGAGAATTGTTCATGCGAATCTTGGATCTATCTGTCATTCTTCATTGTCAAGCAAAATATTCGTCCCACTCATCCATTATTTGGTGAATCATTCTCTTTATTTACTTAAATGTCATTTATTGAGATTTATTGCTAGCTATATCTCCATTAATATTCTTGCTTCAAGAATCTCTTGCATTTATTGTCACCAACCGTACACGGAATCTGTCCCATCCATTGTACGTATGTGTGCTTAGCATCTAGAGTTATTATCCTTAGTCAGATTTAATCCCTCACTACATAAATTAATTAGTTCAGATTTAACCCCTCACTACATAAATTAATTAGTTTAACTGGAGATTATATTTTCTGGTCAAACAATTTGGCATCGTTTGTGCGAATTTCCTAGCTAAGTTTTTTAGTTTCTTCTAGATCTACAACACTAGTGGCTGACAAAAAAAAAAAGAACATTTTTCTCTCTGCACGCATATATCCAACATGATAGGTAACAAAGAAAAAAGAACGAAAATAATGAGCGACCTCCCAACCAACCTCATAGACATCATCCACGAAAGCTTTGAAGTAGTGGACGAGGACACAATGCCCAATGTCTTCCCTAAGCGAGGTGGATCACCCATCCCCACTACAGCATCACAAAATCCCTTGGCAAGGAGACACTGCCAGCGATAAAGAAACTCCTTGAGGCCTGGTTGACTGATAAACTGGCTAACGTCCTCCATAAACTTATTCAGGATGCGAACGCTGCAAATGCGAGAACCTGTGCTGCACCACCAGTGAACGAGCAACATGATCAACCTCCCCCCACCCGCGACGACAGGTATCACTCACAATGTTGTTAACAATGCAGGCGATGACAGTCTCACAGCCATTCTAAAAAGGATGGAGGAAATGGAAAACGAGAACAATGCACTTCAGGACCAAATGAGAGAACACCAAGAAATGGTCGATAAAATACCGGGCATTCCTAAGTTATTGCCGAAGAGAGATGTCGGTCGATTCGTCGAGAAGTCGTACATCGATAACGCTGCCCTGCATGCCATACCGAAGACCTTTAAAATGCCACCATACCTGAAAATATACGATGGCACGTCCGACCTCGAGGATCATGTAACCCACTACGACACTGCCATGAAAGGCAATGACCTCGCTAAAGGACAAGTATCCTCCATTGTGCTAAAGAAATTCAGCTAAACCCTCACGAGAGGTGAATTGACCTGGTACTCGCAACTGCCAGCTCATTCCATCGAAACATTTGAGGAAATGGCCGATAAATTTGTGACGGCCCATGCAGGGTCCAAGAAGGCCGAGGCAAGAGTGAATGACATCTTTGCTATCAAACAGTCCCCGGGAGAAGGACTGAGGGACTTCCTTGCCCATTTTAACCGAGTAAGAATGACTTTTCCCAATGTATCAGAAGGAATGGCGGTAGCCGCTTTTCAAAACGGGCTGAGCAAAAATAGTTCAAGGGAGACAAGAAAATTATTGAGTCGTCTTATGAAATATCCCCCAACAACTTGGGACGAAGTATATAATGCGTATTGTGCCGAAGTCGGAGCAGACGAAGACGACCTCAATGTACCGACTCATCGATTGACCTCAGTACAAGCAGAATCCAGAAAAGATTAGAGAAGTGATATCAGAAAAGATCTAGTGGCCTCGCGGCCAAACTAGGAACAACATCTCCCATATGTCAGAGCTTGACAATTTTTGTGTGTCACCTCACAATTTCTGTGTGTCACTTACAGAGCTCGTCTACGCCTTGGAGAAGTTTGGACCAAAGTTTAAGTGGCCACAAAATATGAGGTCGGACTCGAATACCAGAAAATTAGACGCCCTTTGCGAGCTCCATCAAGAGCGAGGGCACAAAACTGAAGATTGCATCGGCCTAAGACATGAGGTAGTAAACATGCTGCGACAGGGACACCTCAAAGAATTGCTGAGCGGTCGGGGAAGGACCAACTTTTCCAGGGGACGCGAATAATATCAAGGGCCACTGAAGCCGCCCTCTCCATCCCGCACCATCCACATGGTCATCAGTGGTGGAGACGACGCTTCCATCAACGTGAAGTGCACTACGACCCACAAGCTCAAACGGTCTATCACCCACGAACGGTATGATGAACTAGAAGAAGGTATCATCTTCGATAAGTCAGATACCAACGGTTTGGCATTCCATCACTATGACGCTCTTGTTATTACTTTAAGAATTTTAGATACTGACGTAAGACGAATTATGGTAGATGACGGTAGCAGCGTGTGTATTATCCATCCCCGAGTACTCACACAAATGAAACTCGAGAACAAGATTGTACCACGCTGCAACACACTAACAGGCTTTAACAATGTAGTTGAACGAACATTAGGCGAGATCACACTCCCCGTCCTGGCGGGTGGCATCTCTCTGGAGACCACATTCCACATCATGGACCAGGACACAACATATAACGCCATAATAGGGTGACCGTGGATACATTCCATGAGAACCATACCCTCCAGCTTGTACCAAATCATCAAATTACTAACTCCATTGGGCATATTCAGCATACACGGGGAACAACGCACATCCCAAGAGTGCTACCGCATCGCCCTAGACTGCACGGCCACCCAACAAATGAGAGATAAAGAGAAGGAAGCATAGCAATCTACATGTTTGAGGTCGGTAGGTGATGACATCGAAGACTTCATCAGAGACCCTGATGTGGCCGAGGCCGTAGGATTTAACATAGAGGACCTCGACCCCATTCAGCTAGATGTCAACGACCACAACAAGAAAGCTTACATCGGCTATAAACTCCAAGAACCAGGTAAGTTTCGCAAATTTTAAATTGCTAACGCGGACATGTTTGCTTTTAGCCATGTAGATATGCCAGGTATCCCAAAGGAGATCGCCACACACAAATTAAATGTCGATCCACTCTACCCCCATAAGTTCAATTCCGCAATCAATGACGCAGTACGTGAAGAAGTGGAAAAATTATTGGAAAATGGCTCCATCAGAGAGTCAAAGTACCCCCAATGGGTCAGCAACGTGGTCATGGTGAAAAAGAAGAATGGCAAATGGCGGATGTTCATAAAGTTCACCGACCTGAACAAATCTTGCCCTAAGGATTCGTTTCCACTACCTCATATCGACCAGCTCATCGATGCGACAACCGGGCATGAGTTGCTGAGTTTCTTAGATGCCTACTCAGGCTACAACCATACCCTTATGGAGGAAGAGGACCAGGAAAAGACCACCTTCATCACCCACCAGGGGACGTACTGCTACAGGGTCATGACTTTCGGATTGAAAAATGCAGGTTCAACTTACCAAAGTCTGGTGACGAAGATGTTCAAAGAACAACTTGGAAAGCCGATGGAGGTATACATCGACGATATGCTGGTCAAGTCCAAAAAGAAATAAGATCACATCGACCATTTAAGAGAAGCCTTCGGCATACTCAGGCAATACGACATGAAACTGAACCCCAAACAATGTGCATTCGATGTGGCCTCAGGAAAATTATTGGGTTTCCTAGTGTCGCAACGGATTATCAAGGTCAATCCCGACCAAATCAAGGCCATCAAGGGTATACCAGAGCACTTGACCACCAAATATCTAGTCCAGAAACTAACTGGCAGTATCGCCG